TGTGTGTGTGTGTGTGTGTGTGTGTGTGTGTGTCTGCATGTGTGTGTGTGTGTGTGTGTGTGTGTGTGATGTGTGTGTGCGTGTGTGCGTGTGCGTGTGTGTGCGCGCACGCTTTTTGTTTCACTTATTTCCGCCTTGTTGCTTTTCGAGTTGGCGTAGTGGCTATCGGTGGCTGTTTCCGACTCTGATAAGTGGGATCTTCAAATGTGACCACTTGTCTTGTTTGTGTGCTTTTTTCGTACTTTGTTTTGAGGGATCTTGTCTGTACAGTTGCATCCTACAGTCCAACGTGATCGGCAAACTCGTTGTGCTGTATGTTCTTTTGCTGCACAATCACTGTTTTCTGTTTTTTGAACTTTTTTCAGTCTTCAGTTTGGCTTTTCATCTGAGAGCGCTGACTAAAGTAAACAGTATAGAAAGGGGTTAGTGAATGAAGGGAAGTCAAAACGTCTTATAAACAAAGGTTGTAAACAACATAGAGTTATAATAATGAACAGTACGAAGAGTCAAGCAGGCCCTGTCCTTCGGGACATCTGTTAAAAATTAAAATTGGAACGGTACGGATGGCCCCTGCGCAAGGATGACACACATAAATTGAGAAATGGACTTCTCGCCGTTCTCGGCCTTTTGGCTAAGATCAAGTGAAATGTATCTGTTCTGATCAATTTAATATCTGATCCGTGGTCCATCGGACCATCAAAAAAAAAAAAAAAGAGAGAGAGAAAGGGACCAAATGCCAAATGGTCAAAAAAAAAAAAAAAAAAGAGAGAGAGAGGATGTTGGCATAGTCTTCGGGGACTTACCCTTTCACGTCGCATTTCTCTGAAACTTAATCTCTCCCGAGTCCTTTCCTTTGTCAAATGGCGAACGCCATTCTTCTGAAAGCTGGACATCTCCCTGGGCTGCTGTAGTTTGTGGTTCATGTGTGTACGTAGATGCAATTAACGTCTAGGTACACACATGAGCAGAGTCAGCACCTCGCACAGTCAGACATGTCTGGCGAGTGGCCGTGAGTCTTGACTTTTTATCACTTTTATAAGTTTTATTTGTTTGTTTTTTACTTCGTTATGTGCACGAACTACAGCTATACACTGGATCAGAACTCGAGACGGATTGAAAAAAAAAAAAAAAAAAAAAAAAAAACTCGAGACAGATCAGATAGATGTTCACAAATCTGACCCTTCTTCGACTGTTTTGCTTGTCAAACAGTTGCAAGAGAAATTCCGCTTGGACGTCGATGATGAAGCAGCGGTGCAATTCTTCCAGTCTCTTATCAATGACAGTGTCTCAGCTCTGTTCCCCCAGATGGTTGAGGCCATTCACCGATGGGCGCAGTATTGGCGCTGACCCATACGGGTGTTGACAGGCAGGCAGGCAGGCACACGGACAGGTGCTCCGTCGTCACAGGTGACCATTTGCTTTTTCTCCTCAGGGTTGGTGAGCAGCAGTAGTTGTGGCCCTTGTGGGATCTTAAATAAGGTCCTAACCAGAGGAGTAAATTGAACTAGATTCGCTTTCTTATCTTAGTTTCCACCTTTTCCATTGGTATGTGGGCCGATGGTTGTACATATTGAAGACCAGAGGGTGTAGTGCATATCGAAAACCTGAGGGCATAGTACATATCGAAGACCAGAGGGTGTAGTGCATATTGAAAACCTGAGGGTATAGTACATATCGAAGACCAGAGGGTGTAGTGCATATTGAAAACCTGAGGGTGTAGTACATATCGACGACCTGAGGGTGTAGTCCATATCGACGACCTGAGGGTGTAGTCTATATCAACGACCTGAGGGTGTAGGCCATATCGAAGACCTGAGGGTGTGGCTTAACTGTCGCGGTGTGCAACTCTGTTGACTTTGCGCTCTTTGGCTTCTGAACAACAGGACAAAGTTTCTTCAACATGTTAAACGGATGTCCTTATAAATGAAATCAATACGATGTCCCCTTCTCTCTCTCTCTCTCTCTCTCTCTCTCTCTCTCTCTCTCTCTCTCTCTCTCTCTCTCTCTCTCTCTCTCTCTCTCTCTCTCTCTCT